GTGTTTCCTTCATGTGTCATCGGAAGAAAATCAAAAATAATCTTTGCAGTCTCTCTATCTATGATTTTCTCATATTCATTATATGAGATATCACTTAGAAGAATGGATCTTGCTTTGTAGTGATTTCTACATACTTTCTTTTGTGCTTCCATCATTGTGCTTCTTGAAATCTTATGAACTTTATCATATGTTGGGTGAGTGTAGCAATTAACTACAAAGTCCTATAGATCCAAGTCATATGCTAGAAAGTGACTTTCTATTCTATCCTTCAAATAATCAAATTTCTCCCATCCAAACATATGAGGTTTTGAACTATAATGATCTATATCATTATCCCTATTATCAACATTGGAAGTAGATGTAGCCATTGGTTTTTTACACACACTGGATCCGTACTGAACACTATTAAGTGTTGATAAAAATTCAAACTTTTTATCTCCTCAGAACTGGAGCTCTGATACTAATTGAAGTTGTGAAAAACACAAGAAAGGGGGGTTTGAATTGAGTTTTTAAAACAAAACTATTATTTTAAAAAATATTCCCGTTTAAGTTAAAATGCTTTTTCCTTCACTCTTAAAAATAACAATAAGTAAGAACATGAAGTAAAGAACAATGTATGTTTATACTAGTTCACTTGAAAATTATCAAGCTAGTCTAGTCCAACTGCCAATGTGATTTTGCCTCACTCAATCGAGGATTTAATTCACTATAATCAAACTGGTTACAATTTGCCCAAGCTACCTGCAAGTGACTAAAAATTTCTAAGACTCACAAGTAAAATACTTCTTAAGGATTTAGACCTACTCGATCCCTTAAGGAATATCAGACAATAATCAATCTGATTATTACAATGCACAAGATACCCGCAAGTGACTAACAACTTCTAAAACTCGCAAGCTCTAGAATTCTTAAGAATACAAACCTACCCAGTCCCTTAAGGAAAATCAAACAACTGTTTGAATACAAGTTTTTTTTACAAGAGTATTGCTTCTAAAAAGCTGAACATATAAACTATTTTATGAACAGTGACTTAAGATTGTGAAAGCTATGAACAACGTTTTCTCGTGATTATTCAGTGAATTGGAAGCTTTCTCTATTAGTCTTCAAGCTTTTATATAGCCAATAAAATAATATATACATTGAGGGATACTCTTGGAATTTCCAGAAACATTGGCAGCTTGAACAGTAACATGGGGGACAAGATCGTGCGACGCGTCCATCCTTTCATTGTAGGGGAATGAAATGTTGATTGTACCATGTACTATTTGTACCACATTAATATTGTCTTCTATGCTTCTGCACTTCAGAGGCTTCTGCGAGCATGAGTTTAGAAGCGGGAACATACCATCAGGTTATCAGAACATCAAGTCTTCAGAGTCTTCAGAATTGCGTCTTTAGAGTCTTCAGCACTTGATTGTGAGAACCTTTCTTTAAAAACTTTGGGTATTTAGAATCTTTAGAACTTTTGTCTAGAGTCTTCAGCATTTGCTCTTCATAATCCTTATTTTTAGAACCTTGTTAGTAAAAACACAAGCCTTCAACATCTGGACTTCAGTAGAAACTTTATCTTCAGATCTTCTAACTTTGTTTCTTTAGAACACGTTGATTTTAGAAGCTTGAGTTTTTAGTATCTGGACTTTAGTAGAAACTTGAGTCTTCAGATCTTCTGACTGGTTTCTTTAGAACAACATCAGAGCTTACACTTCATAGCCTTCTGGAGTGTCTTGCTACTGTTTAACGGAACTTGTGTAGCGTAGAAGCGGAATCAATTATCTTCTAATGTCTTAGTCACACCATCCATCAAAAGTAGAACCTGTTTGTTAAGTACTCAACAATAACAAACATTAGTGTATCAAAATTGTTCATACAAACATACTCATCTGTTATCATTAAAACTTAGATAATATTGCAGAACCAAATCTTGTTCTTACAATTAGATGGTGTATGCATTAGCTTTAAGTCATATGAGATGGCGCGCACAGTCTAATTTTTGGAGGATGTGCCATCTCATTTGGCTCCTACATGTATATGCATTTTCTATAAATAAAACTTCTATTTCTCCTCCATTCTTCACTCATTTATTCACTTTCTCTCTAATTTTTTCATCATGACATCTGATATGATTGAGTATGTTTTTTTCTCGACCACCAAACCCCGATTAAAATGAAATTTTGACACATTCATTCTATGGAGCGTCTGAAAAGAGAGTTGATCCAATGGGTAGACGGGGAAATCCAAGATAGAGAATAAATTAGAAGGATTCAGAGAAGAAGAACGACCACCTCACTTGCCACTGGAAAATATCAAGGTTGGTTGGAGGAAGTCAAAACAGACAGAGACGTAATAGTGATGATGCATGGGACCGATGAAATTGTTTTGACGGTTGTAATTTCTTAGATATTTTGTTGTGTTATTGATGTTATTTTTATATGGCGTATGTGTTGTTTTTTTATCTGGCGTACGTGTTGTTGTTTTAGTCGTGATGTCATTTTATTCCTTGTTTGCTTTTGGTATGTTGTAACAAATGTTTTTAATGAAAAAAAGTTCTGTTAAGATCTTAAAAAAGTGCAGATAGTATGCATATAATGTTTATGTTGTCGAGCTAGCAGCATGAGTGAGACAATTTTTTCGGTTGTGTCCGACCTGATGACATAAACCGCACTTTCTTTCTAACTTGTTAAGCACGTCCATTTCCGTTGTGATACCCTTGCTTTTTGGACGACCATTTTTATTCCTTCTCATTTGATCATTGTGTGAAACTTATTTCCCCTTTATACACAGACCAATAATCCTCTTTTGCTACCACTGAAAAGCCATTGTTGTATACGTTGAGCAAGGTCTCGGCCTTGTAAGCGGGAGATATATGTATTAATGCATCTTGGTAAACATACATACATGCAACAATGACATGGGAGCAGGGCATAGAAAGACTTGAAACTTTCCGCAATCGCACCAACGAGATGGTAGTAGAACTCTATACTCTTATCTTGGCAGCCTCTCGTTGTGATTGATAGTAACTTTGACAATGAAATTGTAGTTATGTCAGTCGATCTTGTAACATGATGGGTGTTGGCTTTGGTACTATTTGCCTTCATAAATTTCATGCAGTTTTTACTCCACAGTTGTCCCGATTGTAACACCGCGTTCTATTTTTCACCTCTTTTTGCAAACAACGAAGCCGTCTTAAAATATATTTATTTCACCAAACGGTTACAGAGAGGTTTCGAATGCCTTTGAAGACATTGTTCATTGATTCAACAAGAATTGTGGTCATGTGGCCCCATCATTGTCCATTGTCGTATGACCTGATCCATTTCTCTATCGGAAGATTATCAATCCACCTACCCGCATCCATATTTGACAATCTGATCTCGCTACGAGTCTTCCAGATATGGGCATCTGACATATTTCATGGACTCTTAACGCATTGACTTCGCAGGACCCTCGACCCAACCGTAACAGGAAAATCGTCGAAACACACAACGAGTTAGGCAAGGACGCGAGTGCGGAACCACAGGTCGGTATCGAGTTCCAGGAGATAACTAAACACTATGTAACTTTTATTCTCATTATGTAATCGGTTCATTACTATTGAAAATTGAAGTCTTATTTGCGACGAAATTGTATTTTATTTTTAGCAAAAAAAATCAATAAAATAAAATAAAATTACACCTAAACGTCATCTGAGATGGCTCATAGCAAATCAGATGTACTTAGGCACCATCTCATTTGACGTCTCCTTTAAAAATTTGAATGAATGCGTCATCTGAGATGGCTAAAACATTTTATTCATTTCTAAAACATGATTATTTGCATAATTTTCTTCGAAACGCGATTATTTATGTTTTTTTTATATTAAATTTGTGTAATTTTTTTTAAAACTTTATTATTTGAAAAAAAAATAGTCTAAAACCTAGTCCTGTTAGCTTTAATTAGCATATTTGAAAAAGCAATGTCATTTAATTGATAAGTCAAAATTTGCTTGAGCTTAATGTAATCCGAGTTATAGATGAGTACTAGTAGAATTAATTAATCACCAATCTCTAGTATGGGTCATTCCAGTTTCACAAGTCTATTCAATATTCAACATTTCAAACTTATGATGTTAGAGAATTTTTAATACTTGATCCACATTTTCAAACTATCACGCACATCTTCAGACTCAACAAATGGGAAATATATGATAAAAAGACAGTAGCTTAAGTAATTAAATAGAAGTTTGTAAAGTACTACTGGTCTAGAAAATTCTCTGCCAAAAAAGAAAGAACGGTGCAATGTTTAATGTTTTAATGCGTCAGTCATCTTTATAAATATTTTAGTAGTATGACTAAAAATTTATTTGATGGATCACAGGGTCCCTCAGTTCTACCACCCATTTTATATGTTTAGTTTATTATTATGTCCAACCATTAATAACAACTTTGAGGATTAATTATTTGGGTTTGATTCACGGGTTACTCTTACTTACCAACTAAGCCAAAATAAATAGATTGAAATAATTTATTAATTTATTTATAATATATTAAATTATATTTAATTAAAATAGTCATTCATATTGTCCACTAAACATAAAAAATCCATATATAGTCCTTCTATTATTAAATTTATTATTTTTAGTTAAACTAATAATATAGGTTTGATATAAACGATAAAGAAATTGTATTAATATTGTCACATTACAAATGTATATAATTTTATAATAATTAAAAATATATAAAATTATGAATGGATGATACTTTTGAAATGATTTTAATAGTATTATAATTTTATATATTTCAAAGTATCTGTTGAAAGTGCCAGAATCACATGGGTTTTCTGCTCTTTTCTTTCAAAAATATTGGTATGTGGTGGGAAAAGAAGTGAAAAGTATGACGTTACAGATCCTGAATCATAGTAAAGATCCTTCAGAGTTCAACCAAACATTTATCGTTCTAATTCCGAAATGCAAAAAATCAAGATCCCCTAAATATTTTCGCCCAATCAGTTTGTGCAATGTTGTGATGAAGATGGTTTCAAAAGCCATTGCAAATAGGATTAAAAGTTTGCTGCCCGAAATCATTCATATTGAACAAAGTACTTTTGTGGGGGGTAGGTTAATATCAAATAATGTTTTCGTGGCCATGGAGTGTTTCCATTGGATGAAGAAGAAGAAAGGGAAGAAAGGAGTGATGGCTCTAAAGTTGGACATGGCTAAGGCGTACGATAGAGTCGAATGGAGCTTTGTTGAAGGGGTCCTTAGGGTATGGGTTTCCTAGTGAATTTGGTGTCCATCATTATGTGCTGCATTTCAACAGTGTCAGGTCAAGTCCTTCTTAATGGCCATCCTGACCAAAAGTTTTTACCGGAGAGAGGGCTTCGTAAAGGAGACCCTCTCTCCCCTTACATGTTTGTTCTTTGTGCAGATGTTCTCTCAGGCTTATTGAAAGAAGAAGTCATGACTGGTAGTTTACATGGGATCTAGGTGGCTAGGAGAGCCCCAAGTATTTCTCATTTGCTTTTCGCGGATGATAGCCTCTTGTTTGCTAGAGCCAACTTACTGGAAGCAGGGAAGGTGATGGATGTTTTGGCTACGTACCAAAAGTCTTCGGGAAAAATGGTGAACCTCGACAAGTCAGAAGCCTCTTTTAGTTGAAATATGCGAGATAGTCAAAGATATGATCAGTAATAGGATGGGAGTAAAGAGAGTCACTAACCACTCAAAATATCTAGGCCTACCAGTTGTTCTGGGTCGTTCAAAAAAGGAGGTTTTTTGTTTGGTCATGGAGCGCATTTGGAAGAAGACGAAAGGCTGGAAGGAAGGGTTTCTTTCAAATGTTGGGAGAGAGGTACTCATCAAAGTTGTGGCACATGCGATACTTAGCTACATCATGAGTAGCTTTAAGCTTCATGTTGGTGTCTGTCTGGAAATTAAACAACTCATGGTGCGTTTCTGGTGGGGTGCCAAGGAAGGGGAGATAAAGGTTAACTGGATGTCGTGGGACAAGCTCTCAGATGAAAAAGTTATTGGAGGAAAGGGATTTGGGGGTATTGTTGACTTCAACTTAAACCTGATAGGAAAAAAATATGGCGCATTCAAAGGGAGGAATGTTCACTGCTTTGTAGGGTTTAGAAGAGTAAGTATTTTCCAAATTGTGCGGTTCATGAGGCCATTTTGGGACATGGCCCTAGTTTTGCACGGATAAGTGTAATGCGAAGGAGTTGGTCATGAAGGGATATCGGTAGAGGATAAAAGATGGTAGGAATGTCAGCATTTGGAAGGACAACTAGATTTCCAATAATCTGGGGTATAAAGCTATTGGTGGGCCTATAGTGTTGGGCAGAAATGCTAAGGTGGAGGCTCTTATTGATAATGACAGCTGCAGCTGGAATGTGGGGGTTGGTTAACCGGTTTTTTAGCCTGCAAGAAGCCAATCATGTGTGCAACATCCCGCTATCTATTAGAAGAACCAATGATATCCTGGTTTGGCATTTAGAGAAAAGTGGGATGTTCTTAGTGTGTTCTGCTTATCACTTGTTAAGATCCTCCTATGAAGTCAGGATTGTTGGTCCTTCGAGAAGATCTTTTAATGGAGTGTGGAAGAAGGTATGTCTCTTAATAACCTATTCCTTTTTTTTTTCACATCCACCCAGAGTTTATCCATCATCTATTTCTTCAGTGTGTTTTTTCGAGAGATGATTGGTTCGTATCTACCCTGGGGCATCGAGTTCCAGAAACTATGTTTTTTTGCTGTGGCTTGAAAAGGGCTTAGAGTTGTGCGATAATCGCTCTGTTCAAATTTTCAGAACTACTCTATGGGCAATCTGGAATGCGAGAAATCAAAAGGTGTTTTATAATGAGTTGTCAGGGCCGGAGGTTATTACGCAAAAGGCGATGGAGCGGGTAGCTGAATTTAACTGTGCAAACCCATGGTTGAAGTTCAAGAAGAAAATGGTGATCGATGATGATCTGGATGTTTGTGCAAAAGGATTTCACTCTTTTCAAGTGGATGCGGGTAGTTTTTCTGAAGGCGTGATAACCTTAGGTTGTGTGGTTAGGAATCATGAGTGTAAGTGTTTGGTTGTTGGCATGTTTTTTGGTAAAACCAGTTGTGTGAATGTCATGACTGATGTCATAACATTCTGGGATACAAGGTACATTCTGCAGAAAAAGAATGTCATACAGGAGCTGCTCAATATGAGTGTTAAGCTGATCATTATGCAATGATCATATTTATTGCATTCTACCAAAATCAGTAAACAGGATTCTTGTTGTCATAACCAATATTAAGACACCCTGTACTGAACTAACATTTGTGCAGATTTGTTATTTCTGAGAATTTTCAGGAATCTGGTTTATTCAGTCCAGATCAGATTCTCATGTGGACTTAGGTTAACTTTGCTTAACCCTAATCTGGTTGTTAAAGTCCTATGACCAAGTCTTGAGGTTAACCCTAATTAACCCTAGCTATTTTCGTGGAAGCCCTAACTGAAGAATAGCTGCCTATATATTCCTCATGAAGACTGTTGGTAAGGTAGACTTTTACAGAAGATCAATAAGGGACTGTATAGTTGTAACTACTGTGAGTCAATCAATTATCATTGTGATAAGTGATTTGGAGTAGGATTTGGTTGTAAGGGTTGTGTATCACTCAAAGCTTTGAAGCACGAGTGTTTGTGTTACTTGATTGAAGCTTTGAAGCAAAGTCAAGTTAGGGTTGTGTATCACTTAAAGCTTTGAAGCACGAGTGTTTGTGTTACTTGATTAAAAGCTGTGAAGCAAAATCAAGTGTATGTACTGAAGAGTGTCTTCATAATTTCATTAGTCAATTGTTTAGTATCACTGTTGTGATTGAGAGGGAGTGAGTAGGAACTCATGTTTAAGTTGAACTTAGATTGAAGTTGCATTGGGTAGGTCTTAAGTGAAGGAGATAAACTGGTTGGTTTATTCCTGAATTAATATCTCTTATAGCGAATTTCCTCCCTGGCTTGGTAGCCCCCAGAGTAGGTGTTGTTACACACTGAACTAGGTAAACAATTGACTGTGTTCTTTACTGCTTTTAGATTTACTATCTTGAAGAATGTCAGATACGGTGTCATAACATTTACTGTGACATTAAGTATCTGCTGCCAGATTTTCAATTGGTATCAGAGCAGGGACCATGCCTGTCTTACTGGGTGAGATCTAGGGATATTATTTTCTGGCGCTATGGACAAAGAAGGAGGATTTGGAAACAGACCACCCATTCTGGATGGATCAAATTATGATTACTGGAAACCTCGTATGATTTCCTTCTTAAAATCACTGGACAAAAAGGCTTGGAGAGCTGCTGACAAAGGATAGAACCATCCCACCATAACTGGGAAAGATGGGACGACCAGTCTGAAACCTGAGGAAGAATGGAGCAAAGAAGAAGATGAGTTAGCCTTGGGTAACTCCAAAGCATTAAATGCCTTGTTCAATGGAATTGATAGAAACATATTCAGACTAGTACATCAATGTGAACTGGCCAAGGAGGTTTGGGACACTCTCAAAACTACCCATGAGGGCACATCCAAAGTAAAAATGTCAAGGCTTCAGATGCTGACTACCGAATTTGAGAACCTAAGAATGATGGAAGATGAGACCATTCATGAGTTTCACATTTACATCTTGGAAATTGCCAACAACTCAGGAGCATTGGGAGAAAAGATGTCAGAAGAAAAGCTGGTGAGAAAGATTCTCAGATCCTTGCCTAAAAGATTTGCAATGAAGGTGACTGCTATAGAGGAAGCTCAGGATATCTGCAACTTGAAGGTGGATGAACTTATTGGGTCACTTCAGACCTTTGAGATGGGGATCAGTGACAATGTCGACAAGAAAAACAAGAGCATAACACTTGTATCTAATACTGAAGATGAAAACAAGGAGGATGAAGAAGAAAATATTTCAGAAGCTATAGCCATGCTTGGAAGACAGTTCAACAAACTCATCAAGAGAATGGACCCAAAGTCAAGGTCAAATGTTAAGAACATTCCTCCTGACATTAACAGATCCTATGACTCCAGCAGAAGACCAAAGTCTGAAGAGAAGGGAAATCAAAGCAAAGGAATTCAATGCCATGGATGTGAAGGATATGGGCACATTCGAGCTGAATGTCCTACCTTTCTTAAGAAACAAAAGAAAGGAATGTCTGTTACTTGGTCTGACTGTGACTCAGAAAGTAATTCTGAAGAAGAATCTGCCAAACTAGTTACTGCGCTAACTGGTATTTGTGACTCTGATAGTGACTCTAGTGATGAGGAAGTGACATTTGAAGAACTGACTGACTCCTACAAGAAGTTATGTATCAGAAGTGCTGAAGTCTGTCAGCAAAATGAGAGACAAACAAAACTCATAGTAAAGTTGGAGGCTGAGAAGAAGGCAGGCATTGATACTATAAGTCATCTAGAAGGGGAAGTTCAAATGCTAAACTTAAAACTTGACCAGATGAACAAATCTGTCAAGATGTTGACAAATGGAACTGACAAATTAGAAGAAATCCTTCAGGTTGGACAAACTGTGGGAAACAAGTCTGGTCTAGGATTTATGGCAGCAAAGAAATCTATTGTAGACAAGAAGAAGATCAGGCCTGATAAACAAATGTCAAAGCAGATGTCACAACATAGCACTCAACATCGAGAACAGAGAAATATGAAGAAAAAGTATCAAAGATGGAGATGTCATCATTGTGGGAGGTTTGGTCACATAAAGCCATTCTGCTTCAGATTATATGGATATCCTAATCAGACCCCAGTTGTCAAACCTAAGTCTAACAAGGCACCATATACTCAACAGTGGAAGAAAAAGGCTACTGCCCTGATAGCTCACACCTCTCTTAGAGTCTCTGCAAAGGAATACTGGTACTTTGACAGTGGATGCTCTAAACACATGACTGGAATTAAGAATCTTCTCAATAATGTTAAACCTCACACTACTAGTTATGTGACTTTTGGAGATGGTGCTAGAGGAGAAATCAAAGGAGTTGGAAACTTGGACTGCCCTGGAGTTCCAAACCTAAATGAAGTATTGCTGGTAAAAGGCTTGACTGCTAATCTCATAAGTATCAGTCAATTATGTGATCTAGGATTCAAGGTAAACTTCACCAAGTCTGAATGTCTTGTAACTAATGAGAAACAAGAAGCTGTAATGAGAGGAGTCAGATCTAAAGACAACTTCTACTTATGGGAGTCTGAGAACACTAATTATTCTTATGTGTGCTCTATTGCCAAAGAAGAAAAAGAAGTGAAACTGTGGTACCAAAAACTTGGTCATTTACATCTAAGAGGAATGAAAAGGATTATATCCATGGAAGCAGTCAGAGGGATTCCAAGGCTACAAATTGATGAAGGGAGAGTCTGTGGTGAATGTCAGGTTGGAAAGCAGACTAGAATGTCACATCCAAAATCAAGACATCTGACCATCTCTAAAGTGTTAGAACTTCTACATATGGATCTGATGGGACCAATGCAGGTGGAAAGTCTTGGTGGAAAAAGATATGCCTATGTTGTTGTGGATGATTTTTCCAGATTCACCTGGATTAACTTCATTAGGGAAAATTATGATGTATTTGAAGTATTTAAGGAATTGTGCAAAAGAATTAAAAGAGAAAAAGAAGGATGCATTGTCAGAATCAGAAGTGATCATGGAAAGGAATTTGAAAACAGTAAGTTTGATGAGTTCTGCTCCTCAGAAGGAATTAATCATGAATTCTCTTCACCCATAACTCCTCAACAAAATGGAGTTGTGGAAAGGAAAAACAGAACTATACAGGAATCTGCCAGAGCAATGATACATGCCAAAAGACTTCCTATTCATTTTTGGGCTGAAGCTATGAATACAGCCTATTATGTCCATAACAGGGTCACCTTGAGAAAGGGAACATCATCCACCATTTACGAACTTTGGAAAGGAAGAAAGCCTACAGTGAAGTACTTCCATGTATTTGGAAGCAAATGCTATATTCTGACAGATCGTGAACAAAGGAGAAAGATGGACCCTAAAAGTGATGAAGGAATATTCCTAGGATACTCTACCAATAGTAGAGCTTATAGGGTATTCAATTCCAGGACCAAAGTTATGATGGAATCTATAAATGTCATAGTTGATGATTACCATGAGGAAACAAATGTCCCATATGATGTTGAGACATTCTTTGAGACTTCAACTCAAAAGGATGATATTCCT